CGGAGACGTAACAATATGTTAGGAAAGAAATATGACAGTGTCACCACTGGGTTTAATTTCATTTGTTTCTGCTCAGTGGTGGCTGGGTGTGGCCTATTTATTAATTAGCAACTTTGGACTGTGAACTGAAGGATCCATGCATGGTTTTCAGCAGGTTATTGTAAAAAACTGCTCTGTTCTTTAGGGCTATGTGTGCGATATAAAATTAAGTAATGATCAAATCTCACTTTTTTGGTCATAACAAGAGTATCTAAAGAGTTAAAAGTAGTTGCCTTCCCCCTAATTTATCAGTTCAGAATTAGGGATGGCTATGTGCAGATGACCATGTGTAGCTTTGTTTGAACTTTTTAAAGCAACTAACTCCCTTGTGACTTGATAATAAGCTGGAGGATATATGATATTAAAACGTGGAGGTTCAGTAAATTTAATCTCTGCAGTGGGTACAGTACAGATATCCCATTGTGCAGTTTTTTACTTAATAACAAACAAAGTTGTTTATCTTATTAGAAATTTTGATGTGACATTCTGATTTATTCCTCACCACACGTTTTAGTTCAGTAGTAATTTTGACATGATTACCAAGCTTAACACTGCTTATCTTTTGTTTGAGAAAACATTTTGATGAAACCACCTACTAAAATGTGCACTGCTAGGTTTGTTTGTTTCGTATGAAATTTTAATTTATTGAATACCCAATATTTATACTGTCTGAATTTATTTACTTCAGAGAAAACCTTTATGTGACCACCCAATTCAACAATGCTTATTTGTTTTTTCAGAATACATATGTTTACTTTACAACCAAGTTTTATACAGATTGTATTATTTGTTCTGGGAAAGAGTACATTTTTTTTGTGACTATCTGTTCTGTTTACATTACAACCAAGTTTTGTGCAAACTGTGTTATTTGTTTTTGGAGAAAGGCCATTTTTGTGACAATAAACTTCTGTTTTGTTTATTTCAGAGGAAACTTTGACGAGGTGACAACCAGGTTTTATTGTGCATGTGTTGTGGAAGCATTTGACTATTTACATTCTCGATATATCATTTATCGAGACTTAAAACCAGAAAATATACTTTTGGATCTAAAGGGATATATTAAGCTGGTAAACAAGTTTTATAATACAAAATATATATTTTATGGAAATTTTGTGAATTCTAATTTTATAGTAAGCAGTAAATACAAAGAAAAAAACAGTCTTTGCAATTTTAATACACTAGTAGCTACTGAAAACTATCATTTGAGAAAAATGTTTAAAATCTTTCATATTCTTGATCAATCGCTCATAATATGACACCCACCAAAGTTTTTGTCTTATAAAAAAAAAAGATTTATTGAGGTCACTGTTATCTTTATATGAAGTCGTTTTTCTTTCAGTGTTTCATTGTCATTCTTTTATGAAAAGTACATCCATGTAAGGAAAGCTAAGTTAATAAGTAAGGTTGCAGCCTTGTAGAGTTTAGATTTAGTTAGAGCAAATTGCATCTTAAGATTTAGTTACTGTTTTTGTAAGTTATTATTATTTTGATGCAAATGAAATATATGTGTGAAGCTAAACATATGGGAAACCAAATTATTTTACTTTTATTATAAGGAATGGAACATATTTCACTTGAAAGGAGCAGTTTTAATGTGTATTATGTGAGAAATGTGATAATTAACAGAATGGGTGCATGGCTGAGGAAGATACTGTTCAATCGAGGCATCATGGGAAATGTTTTAAGATTCTCTCTTGGAGTTTTATTGATCATTTTAGGATCACTGACCATTAGGTAAGCAACAAATGCTAGAGATTCTTGAGAGCTAAAAACTTTTGTAAAGTGTTCAAGCACTTCAGTAGACTCGTGTTTAATTGAGAAGTGTCAGTTAGAAATAAACCATCTGCAAACTGAGGTATAGAATGTTTAAATTAAGGGTATACGAAAACAGTCGGAGGACATACTGAATGGTAGAAGTGTACATGATCTAAGGTTTCTAGTTTCTTTGGATTCCTCATACAGTGAGATTTTACAATACTTTTTTACATATGTTGAAACCTTTAAGCTTTTTTTTCTTATTATAATTTTGTAAAAGTAACTTATTTGTAGTGATAGTTATTTTAGTAAATAATCAGTCTCAAATTGCAATTTTCAGCCTAAGATGTTTGTTTGTGTTTAGATATTTAGTAATTCTATAACATTAGCATTAATTACACTATGAATGCCTGCTTGTGGGCTACAGGTGGACTTTGGTTTTGCTAAGAAACTTTACAGAGGTCATAAGACTTGGACATTTTGTGGAACCCCTGAATATGTAGCTCCAGAAGTCATACTCAACCGGGGTCATGACATCTCTGCAGACTATTGGTCATTAGGTGTTTTGATGTTTGAGTTATTGACAGGCATGTAAGTAAATGCTAAAACGTAAGGTTCTTATATTTGAAATTTTAATAACTTGCTTAAATTATTCATAACTACTCAAAGATATTAATGAAAGATTTAAAAGCATGTGTTTCTTTGGAAACTTTCTCTTCTAAATAGACTCTGAGTGTTCTTATATGAATGCTGAGGAAATTACAAAATTAAAATATCTTGAAAATTGCCATATTTGTAGTGTCTTAAAGAATGGTTGACTATATAAGGAAAAAAGTGGAGCCAATTATGTTTCAAGCATTATATGAAAAAAATTATATATGTGTATAAATCTATCTTTATGGTCATTATGCTTCAGAAAATTCTTTAAAATATCCAGAGATTTAATATGTCAGTAAAACAACAACAACAAAAAACCCTGGCATGTGTCCAGGTTTCTGTCTGTTTTTTTTAGTACAGTAAAAAAACAGATAAATATATTTGGATGAAACTTAACAAAATGACATTTCTCAAGTCTGAAGATAATTAGTTGCTGACTAAACAGCTTGTTTTTAATCTTTTAAAACAGTAGAGCTATGAAAACTTAATGCATAAGTCTTCAGTCACTTCTTATATAGATGCTGGTAGTCTCACAATGAGAATTTCTGCAGAAAAAAAGTAAAACATTGTTTTCAAATTTATTCCAGGGTACCAAGATCGTTTCTATACATAGGTATACAAAATCTAACTGACATCTAATACTTTTCACTTACAGCCATGAATACTTATCACCCTAATTAATAAATTTAGTGTGAATGTAAATAGCACCAGTAAACCATAGATTTTTAATTCTTTTAAAAGCAGGAATTATATAATACTAGTAATGTCAACAACAACAACATAATATTTCAAGTTCTTTCATAGACTTCAAGTTCAAATAGTTTGAGAAGAATTATGTAAGTTGCTGGTAATGATCAATGAATTGTAGATTACAGTATGTCTCTCTATCTTTCTATCTATATCTATATATAGTTGATTAACTTAGTTGATCACTATGTTACATACCCTGCTGTCTCTGAATGTTGTAACATATATCTTGTTTTAAATTTTTGTTAGTAACCCTTTACCTAAGAAATATGTTTGAATTTATTGTGATTCTATATAATATATTAAAATGTATTTTTTGAACTATTTTCAGACCACCTTTCAACTGTATTGATCCTTTGAAAACATATAACATCATCCTGAAAGGAATTGATGCAATAGAATTTCCTCGAACAATATCCAGAAATGCATCAGCCATGATCAAGAAACTGTGCAGGTTAAGATTAAAAGTCCTATGATTTTCACATTTTATCTGTGCATTTAGTTGTTACAAAACTCTATATAACTAAGAAAAATATGACACCATAGTTTAAAGGATCTAATAAGAGATGTCTGAAAGTCTAGCATGCTTCAGGCCTTTGTGTGACCATCTTCAGTTTATTTATGTCTGTTCTTTTAAAGATACTTTGTAAATGCATTAATGCTTGTCACAAGGCAGTAGACGAGTAACTTTCATTTATTATACTTATGTTATTGTGACACATTTAACTGCAGAGTGTTTTTACTGAAACTTTTTGATGTTTGTTATATTTATAGAGATAATCCTGCTGAGAGATTAGGCTATCAAAAAGGTGGGATTAAAGACATTCAAAAACATAAGTAAGTTTTTAATACTACATAAAGTTTACTTTTGTCAGAACTTTTATACTACAGGTTCTAGAGCCCATTTGTAAGCAGTTTGAACCAAAACATTTCATTGATAGTATTTTATTTGTAAAATATTTTCTTTAACATTTCAATATTGAACTTCTAAATGTACATTAACATAACACAATGTTATGGACAACAAGGGACATATTGGTCCATATAGGCTCTCCCATCCTCTAAACTAAACTAAAACTATTAAATGATAAAAAATAACCTCAAAGCCTTTCATATAGTTATCAAGCTTTCTCTTAAACTCACTTGAATTTACTGCCTCCACAACATCCAAAAGCAACCCATTCCAAAGGCCAACCACCCTGTTAGAAAAATAAAACTGTCTTAGCTGAAGATGACTCCTACCCTGCCAAAATTTATATTTATGTCTCATAGTCCTACTAGTCTCACTGTTAAGTATGAAGAAAGATAATGCACCAACACTCTCAATTCCCTTTACAATCTTAAACATCTCAATCAGATCCTCTCTAACTTTTATCACCTCCCTTAAAAAGAGGACTAACATTAGCTAACTTCCAATCTCCTGGTACCTGATCACTATTCAAGGATTTACAAGTATTGTAGCAAGTGGCTCACATATCCAATCCTTGACCTCTTTCAAAACCTTTGGGGAAATATTATCAGGCCCAGGAACCTTATTGTTTTTTAAACTTCCCAATGTTTTCTTAACAAGCTTAGAATTAATGCAGTCACCTTGATTGATCTTCTTTCCATCTATCAACTGTTCGGGATGTAGAATACTACTTAAATCTTCATTAGTAAAAAGTGAAGAAAAAGCAGAATTTAATAACCCAGCCATTTTATAATCATCAGATAGAAGCCTTCCTTTATCATCCTTCGAGAATCCTACCCCCATCCTAACATTTTACCCTTAATGTATTTATAGAAATCCTTCCTGTTAATTTTTACATTTTCAGCCAACCTTTTTTCATACATTCTTTTTGATGTCCTAATTTCCTGTTTGACCAACTTTCTTGATCTTTTAAATCTCTTGTCATACCGGTCAATTTAAATTTCTTAAATTTATAATGCTTTTATTTCATTTTATCTCTTAAACTCTTTGTGAGCCAACCTGGTTTTTTACTTAAAGCCACCCTTTTCTTTCTATAAGGAATATGTTTATCTTGAATATTTATAAATTTATCTGTAAAAAATTTTCATATTTGATCAGTGTCTCCAAATGTATCAGCTGTACAATTCACAACAGATAATTCTTGTCGCATCCCTTCAAAATTTGCTTTTTGAAATTTGTAACCGAAGTGTCATTATTCCTAATCTCCATATTGCAGCAAAACATCGAACCTAATAGAGAAATGATCACTTGCATTCAGATGTTCCGCTGTTCCACTTGTCAATCATTTCTGTATTTGAAGTTAACAATAAGTATAAAACAGCATTGTTTCTAGTTGGTTCCTTGAACAATTGGTGAAGAAGGCCATCTTGAACTGTTTCCAAAACCTTTCTCCCTCATGTTTTGATTCTAGCATTTTCCAATTTATATGTCTGAAATTAAAACCATCTATGATTATGACTTCATTAATAGCTGAAATTTTAATCTCATTGTAAAGTTTCTCACTAATTTCATGGGTATCATCTGGTGGTCGGTAACAAATTCCCACTAAAAATCTTTTCCTTCTATATCTGGTGATAGAAACCCAAATGGATTCAATCTCCTTGATATTATCTTTAATATCCTCAATTCAACAGGATGTAATTCACATTTTACATATGAAGCCACTCCTCCCCATCTCTTTAGTACTTTATACCTATTAAATAGCCTGTAACCCTGTATTTCAAAGAAGTTTCTGTTATCAAAATCATCTATGTTTAACCATGTTTCAGTTATTCCCATTATACCAAAATTCTCCATTCCTGCCAGTGATCTAAAATCATCTATTTTATTTTTTATATTTCCCAAACATACTTTACCTCCTCTCAAACTAATAGCTATTACTCAACTTCCAGGGTTTCTTCCTTTGCCCATCTAAGCCTTGGTCTGATTTTTCCTTGCTTGCTCCAGTCTTTCATACCTTACTCAATTGCCCTTGGTGATATTTATCTCGTGACTCTCTCCACCTACGTCAATGCCACCTTTATCCTGGTACTATATATAAGCACCTTATTCAGATTATGTTATAATTTTTTCTTGATAAAATGTCACTAACGGGTTTTCCAGTATTATGATCGTTCAGTGTTATCATAATAATAGGTAAGAAATAAAATGTGTTATCCATGTTATCTAGTTGATTTTCATAATAACAGGTAAGAAATAAAATAATTTTTTTACTCAGATTGGCAAGCCGATTTACAGTATGAATTCCCGGATTTCACTCTCATTTGAGAATGTCAGTAATCTTATTTGTAGTGAGATAGAGACATATAATCGGTTCTGAGGTGGTCCTCTGGGGGGGGCACTGAGGCTTCAATTGGGGGCGATCTTTGACATTCTGAAAATAATTTAGATTTGCTTTATCCTGTGCTTTCTTTTCGTCTGTTGGCTTTTCAGTCCTCCTGTGGGACAGTGGTGAGTTTGTAAACTTGCAGCCAGCATTGGGGTCCAGGGTTCGATTCCTTATGGTGGATTCGGTGGAAGGCCCAATGTTGCTTTGCTTTAACAAAACAAATTTACGTGACAAAATGCTGTTCCAATCAACGGTAATCAATGCATTCTTTAAACGACCTATAAAACACAAAAAAGGAGGCCACTTTGGGATAAGCTGTTTAGATTTGTTTTCTTCTGTTCTGTAGGGTAGTTTCCCGGTTGATATTGAGCCTGCACCTTACGTAATGGCTGAAATGTCTGGGAACAAACTGGGTTTACTTCCCAGTTATGTGAAGAAAAAGTTATGCCTTATCTGACACATTGTCAGAACTTCGTGGTTCAGTCTACCACCGCCAGGGGGAAGCATTTTCCAACTGACAAGTAATACATCTACTCCTTGGATTTTGGGGTTCTAATGCAGAGTTTGTAGTTAACTTGAATAGATCAATGTCCCATGATGGAACAGGGTGAGTCTGTAGACTTACAACTTTAAAATCCAAGATTTTGTTTTTTTTTCACTTCATTTTGTTGGAAGACTCTCAGGATCACCAACTTCATTGATGAAAAGCTCATTGTCATTATGCATGCTGGTTCAATTTTTGTATTCTACATTCCTCCGTATTTTCATTGGAGTCTCCAATTTCATTGGCTCCTACTGGTGGTCATATTTCTGCCCATATTCATGGATCCCAAACTCCGACATCAGCCTCTCTGTACATTGGTACCCAGAATAGATTCTGTCTCTATCCAAAGGTTCTACTGCATGGTCAGATCATCAGTGATTATTGTATACCTTCAGGGTATGTGGGGGTTCGTCTCTGAGAATTTCTGGATGTGTGGTAACCTTAACCAAAGATCCAGGAGTACTGCTGGTTTTTGGGTCAAGATTAGTCATTCAGTTCACCACTATTATCCACCTAATCTGTAGGGTTTCCATCTCCAGCAGATCATCTGGATTTGGAACGTAGTTTTAGGGCTATCAGAGCTTGGTTGGCCTGGGGGTAGTGAGAGAATCGTGTTAGTACTTCCATGTTTTTATTCCTGTCAGTTGTTGGGCCTATGCAAACAGGAGATTGTCCAAGGTTCACAAATTACTCATTCTTCAATCTGAGTTGACATATTTTACTGGGATTGTAGATCTCCAAGTTTGTTGTAATTGTCTCCTATCTGCACATTGCCATAGTGGTGGAGCTCCACCACTATCAGCATTTGTTGTGCACAAGGGTCAGGTACTGCAGTTCCAGGTTTTACCTTTGGACTCTCATTGGCTTTCTGTGGGTTCTGCCGTATCATACAAGTTTTTTTTTCTTGTCATCTCCATTCCATGGATGACTGGTTACTCCCGGCACCATGTCATCAATTGTCACAAAATCACATCCTGATTCTTCTTTCAGAAACAACCAAGTCAGGCTTCATTTTCAGGGCTGAGTTATCTATTCTTGCTCCAATTCAATATGTCATCAGTCTGGGTATTTTTTATTTTTCATCCCGTCTTTCAGTCAGATTCATCTGATTCCCATCTGGTCCAAGGATGCCTGACTCTTACTCTCCTTTCCTTCTCCCACTGCATGGATGGTTCCTTCTCTTTTGGGAATGTGGGCATCAGTTGAATTTCTGATGCCTTTCGGACAAGAACACAAGAGATCCTTTTAATGATCTTTATGGGACCAAGACATCATAAACATTGATTCACTGGATTTCCTAGTTTACTTAGTCAGATCATTCTTCGATCTTGAGAAGTTGTTAAATCGGTACATTACTATGACATGGGTTCGTTGCCACCTTGTCCAGAGTTCCATTTCTTCACAAATGTCTTGCTTCAGGGATTGGGTGCATATACCAACAGTCAAGAATTTCAGAGTCTAAGCACAGATAAAGAGGCTTCCATAAACACTGTTTTAGTCCTTGCTCTTCAACAGGTAATATCTCATGGTCTGGGCCTATTAAGGGGAAAGTTGTCAGGCTTCACTCCGACAATTCCATGGTGGTGTCTTGTGTTTGTCATTGAGGAGGCACTTGGTCCAGGGCTCCTTGTTTTTGAATTTTGGACCTCCTTTCTCAGGACCATTCCTATCTTATCATCCTACCAGCTTGCCATGCTCCATGGGTGATGCCTATGATAGCAAGCCAATTGTCTCAGTCCAAACAGATTCTCCTATCAGTATAAATGCTGCATCACTAGGTTCTGTTGGATTGACTCTCATTTTGCAACTCTGATTGGTGAATTGGCCTCTCATTAGATTACCCAACTACTGGCAATTTCGTCCCAGTACCTCGTCTTTGGGCTTTGAAAATGGATGCATTCCATCAGGACAGGATTGAGTTACAACTCTAAGCCTTCTCTCCACTTCATATATTACCAAGGGTAATAAATATGATTTGTTTCAACCCATTTTCG